ATTAGGAATTGCTTAAATGAGGACGGATTCTGGTATTTGCAAACGCGAAAGAAAGGACTTCTTCGTGCCAAAGATCTAAAATCAAGGGTAAAGTTTTGCAAGAAAATTAGAAAGCAAAATTTGGGCGAAGAGTTCTGGAGGACGGGGATATCGTTTTATTTGGATGGAAAGGGATTCCAGTACAAAAGTAACCCTTATGACCAGGCACGCGCACCGGGAGCTCGAGAGTGGAGAAAACGGGGAGAAGGCTTGAAGTCCAATTGCACTGCAAAAGGAAAAAAGGAAGGTGGAATCAACGTGAACTTCATGGTGGCAATATCCTACGGTAAAGGTGTAGTTCTCTGTGAACAATATGATGGGACTATAACAGGCCCAAAATTTGCAGAAATTGTCAAATCGTTTCCAAAAGCATTCAAAAAATCATCAAACCCAAAAGCGAGAAGATTTCTCATGGATGGGTGCCCAAGGCAGAATTCAAAAGTAGCAATGCGTGCTATCGACAAATTAAATGCATTTGTATTCAAAATTCCGCCACGAAGCCCTGACCTTAATCCGATCGAAAACTTTTTCCATACGCTAACAGTGCGACTGAAGAACGATGCACTGCAAAAGAATATTACCAAGGAAACTTTTAGAGAGCTATCATCGCGAGTAAAAGATACTATTCTGAGCTTTAGTTCTGAGGAAATTGACAAAATCATTGACAGTATGGATAAAAGGATCACCGCAGTTCTTAAAGGAAAGGGTCAAAGAACCAAGTATTAGTTTATTAAAAAGCGTAAATGTCTGTATCATTATATTCTGGAAATTTTTAAGTGCAAAAATCCAGCAGTGCTGTTGTATAATTGTAGTGATTTATCACTCACAAGATCGAATATCAAATTATTTTAATCAATACAGACGTAGTAGAGTAATATTTGCCCCAAATTGGACGGTTGTTCTATACTTTGTAACTAATATATATATTATATATATCGTATGATTAAATCCATCACATGTTACATCATGTTACACTACATGTTACACCACATGTTACACTTCAACTTGTATATTTTACTGTATATCTTGACATGTTACACATGTTACACCTACTTTTTAAAATAATCAGTATATTCTTTTTTAAAGTAGGTGTAACATGGTGTAACATGTCAAGATATATAGTAAAATATAATAGTTGAAGTGTAACATGTAGTGTAACATGTAGTGTAACATGATGTAACATGTAGTATAAATATTTCCCATTGCACAAAACATAAATGTTTATCGTTCATAAACTTTGGTCTCTCTTTAGGCTTTATTTTGCCATAGTAGTCTACGAATTTTAAATGTAAATAAACAACAAGTACTTAATAATGTTCCGCATTGTTTAGCATATTTCTCCCATTAATACAAGTTGTGCAAAACACTTTGCACACGGGACAATATCTTTCTGTTCGTTTTCCGGGATTTTGTGGGAAAAGCTGAACACTTTCCATCTTGACGCCATCATGTCATCTTCGGCTTGGTCGTGAGTGTTGTAACAGCCTTTATACTTGATGATACTCTTTGAGGTTGCAAATATTGGCGTATCTTCACTGATGCAAACGTCGGTGCTGAAGTGATTCTTAGGAGCTGGCAGGTTAACTCTATCTTCCTCTAATATTAGCAGAAAACTCTTCCAATCGATTAACTCCTTGCTCCATCTGAAATCATTTAAAAAAATGATTTGTGCATGCTCGGCCCCAACCCATGCATATTTATCCTCCGCTGGATTCGTAAATATTTTGAAAATTAACTCCAACGGTCTTAATAGAAACATTTTTCCAGAGTTAGTCGGCCCAACTATCATCACATTCCGGTACTTCCCCCGTCCTAACAGCAATAGCTCTCTAACGGAAGCAGCAAACAATATAGGATGGACTTTGTTGTTCACAAGCACTTCTTCAGCGCACTCAAACCATTTTCCTTCGCAAGATGTTGAACATTCACTATCAGCAGCCTTGCGTATCAAATCTATTCGTGAGGCTTTTTTTCGTTCTAGGTTAGCAGATGCCGTCTTCATTTTCCATGTTTGCTCTATAAGCTCACGCAAGCCCTTTGAGTTGCGTGAAAGAACAAAATCTGCGAGATCTTTCTTCCCCTCTTCGCTTTGCTCATTCGCAACAGCTAACAATTCAGTCTCAGATTTAATTTCATGTTCGACAATGAACTCTGCCACTTCCAAATTTGAAAGTTTTTTCCTTCTCTTGGACGTAGTAGCAGCCTCCTTACTATCCACATTAGACGATTTTTTCTCGCAATGCCTTTTTCGATATGTCTCTTGACAGCGCTTTGTTCTTGGAGAACCAACTTCATCGAGATTCGGGTGACCTGTGCTGTGGAAGACCATATCATCAGATTTGCTTACGTACCGATATGCAGTGTAGTAGCCATCGTGATCAGAGAAGTTTACAGTTATACCGTGTTCTTCTTCAATAAATCTCTTTGCTTGGAGCCATCTCTTCGTACCACTGAGTTTCAAGGCAACGTGGTAGTGATAACCGCCGTCTTTATGCTTTTCCAGGCAACATGCCCAATGTAGCGGGGTAACTTTACTTCGTTTGGAAGTGAATGCAGCGGCCACAGCTTCGCCAAACGATTCTCTGGTTGGGAATTTCACCAAGTCTGCTTGACTTGGTGTAACAAGATAACTTCTCCGTGGTTTAGACTTGTCAATTTCATCCATTTATTAAAAATTTGTTCGAGTTCAGCGTATAAATTTAGTTGTAATGTCGTCTAAACTCTTGATTTAACGCGCCGAAATTACTATAAACAGTAAACAACAACCTCCCCCCGAAAAATCCAGAACACCCGCCCCCCATATAGGTAAATTTAACAACACGTAATATGCACTATATAATACTAGTAATATAACAAATGTTTAAAAATCAACGCAATTATACAACTGCCTAATTGTCGCATTTAATTGAAGTTAGAGACAATCTTGGAAAAAATACTTGGAGACTCTTTGTTAATTTCACTAAAAATCTATTATAAAATGCTATAATCGTACATTTTCCATAAATTACTTACTGAATGACCCTCAATGCTCAATTCCCCCTTCCCCCTGAACAATGTTGAATAAAATGAAGTAACTTCCCAACATACAATGCATAAATAGCAACATTGTGTAGGGGGGAAGGGGGAGACATGAAGAAATTGAAAAAGTCTACTAATTTTTTTCGAAGATTGTAGCGCGGTGCTTTTATGAATTTATCGCCTATATCAGTATATGGTTCTTATGACTCAATTCATAGTAAACAAATAAGTATATGGGTATTGACCATATGCAAGCGAACAAATATTGTAAATGTTATTGAATATTGGATACGCAATTTTTTAATGTTGATCTCGTTAGTCCATTTTTGTTCAGCTCATCTGACTTTTAGGGTAAACAAATAAAGTATGGATTGTGGGTATTCAATACTACAGGGTGTCCCAAAAGACACAAGCAATAGCCTTGACGATTGTTAGAATTTGAATACCCAAGACAAACTATGAGCAGTGGCATGTTGAATTGTCACTCTTTACGTGCAGTGCAATTACATTTCAGTTCAAGAAATATCATTGAACGTAATGAATTCATATCAGCAATAATCTAACACGTTCCCAATGGATGGAAAATAGCACAATATTCAATACGAATTTCTGAACTTATTTTTAATTGCATGTATCCTGTCAAAATTTTACTCGCTATTGCGTCAAGCTTTTTCTTGGGTATTCGAGTTCTAAGCCTATTATTGTTTGCGTTTTTTTGAGACACCCTGTATATTTGGGGACAACCCACAAAACGCCACTGCAACACTTGATCTTGGGGAACTGTCAACTAGCTCCGTTTGCAACAAGCTTTATAAGCTAAAATCATTATCAGGAAATGTGATCACAACAGTTTAGTTAAAATACATTTCAAAATGTCAATCTTGTTAGTCGAAATGACCATTTTTTGTATTTTTGAGCATATATATAGCGCTTTTGAAGTGTTAGAGCATTTCAATTTAACATCCAGTTCCACAAATTAAATAAGGATCTTTTAAAAATGAATACTGTAAGAAAATACAAGACAAGGTTAAACTAAAATCATTATGATAGGAAAATAGTTTAGTCGAAACAGATTTCAAAATGTCAATCTCGCTGGTCGATTGTTGTGCTCGTATAAACATATAAACAACCAATTCAGAAAATTCTGCATGCTGCCTTTAATAGTCAGGGAGCATGTGTACTCCCGTGGGAAATCACTGAAGAAAGCAAGCAACAATGCTAGTCATGTTCAGGGGACTTCAAATAGTAAGAAAAGTGATGTTGCCAAGTTTGTAACTTGTCCTGGACCAATTAAGGGGGTATTTTAAAAAAGGACGTCAACATTTTAGCACGAAAACGAGGTTGGTACCAAAACCATTAATATCTTCGCCGTTTTTAGACGAAATGTCATGAAACTTGCAACAAATAATCACCAAGACATGCAGAAGACAATAATCTAGTTTTTATGTTGTCAAGTGACTCCCAACATTAAAACGAGGCTAGTGTCTAAATCATCAATATCTTTGTTATTTTTGAACGAAATGTCACGAAAATTGTAACAAATCATTACCATACTACACAGAAGAGAACAGTGTCTCTTTTATTTTGTCACGTGACCCCAAACACGAAAACGAGACTAGCATGTACCACGTGACTTGTTTATAAGTTAATTGTACTGTTATGACGGTTAATAGTTAGCATCAGACTGAATACATTTATATAGTTGTTCTTAGTTGCATAAGTCCATGTGTTATTACAATGTCTACAGTCTAATGATCATCTTGCTATTAAAAAACAATGGTGTCATTTTTTATTTTGTCATATGACTTGAACGTAGCTTTATAAATTAATTGTGTTGTTTTGGCAGATAAAAGTTGGCATCAGATATAATACATGGATACACATGTTCTTAGTTGTATCAGGTCAGATGTTCTTTACAATGTGAAATAACATGTTTGTTTTAATCAGAATTCTCCAATGTTCCGATCTACCTCGTTGTCTGAGTCATCAGAATACGCGGAAACATACTCGCTGTAGTTATTATCTTCATGTTCATCTTCATCTTCCTCATCATCATCAGCACTGTCCCCCATGTATCCATCTTCATCTTCATCGTCGTTATCGTCATCATTTTCAGATTTGTTCATGCAGTTATCACTGGCTGAACAACCACAAAGATCTGTGCATTTCAAACCGACTTTTTTGCACCCACACCGATTTGTGGCACACTTCTCCTTGGCGCATTTACATTTAACAAGATGTATAATAGCCCGTGGTGCAGGAGGTAATGTGGTCATCACTGGGCACCAAATTTTATTGCCTTCATCCCATTTCCATCCATAATTTTCCGGTGATGGCAAGGTTGGGTTAGGCACGGTGTCATTGTTCCACACAATAAGCTGGTAATGGGCACGGAGAACAGCTTGGTGTAAGGCGGCATCAGTTGGAGGAAGCTGCTGGGAGGTGGCCTGTTTTTTAGTGAAAAGCCACCATCGTAACGCCTTCAGAGAGTCGATTTCTGTCTTGGGGACAAAGAGCTGGCAAACAAATTTTGCTATACTGGTAATGATCTCATCACTGGGGAGATTACTCGTTCCAAGCCGTGCCAACGCGCTCAGTACATTGTCATCAGACTCGTCGAAAATTCTCCAGCAAGTAGGCTTCCCTTTTCTGGCGAACGATCCAGTGTTATCTGCCCCGGTCAATGCATGGAAAGCTGGAAGAGCCGCTGTTTTCAAAGGGCCAAGTGCATCGACTATCGGCTTCAGCTTGATTACGCGGTGATGCTGGCCTTTACCAGTGACAAACACTGTATTCTGACACAGATCGGTGTAACGCCTCAAGGAAAGGACAAAAACATCAGTGTCAGGAGAATGGATTTGGATCTCCGTTGCTCCATTAACCGTTGCGTCTTGGGCATGTAAGATAATCTTTGTATCGGCCTCTTCGTGATCACTGCAAGGTATTCAGCCAGTTCTTTCTTTGTGTTTGTGTGAGATAGGAGCTTCTTCATCGTAACTTTGGCAATCAGAGTAGATGAGGTGATTCGATAGTAGATGAGGTCTTGCTGCCGTGTCCTCTTCTGGCGTGTTGCTTCCTTCAGAGATGATAGAATATCATATCTATCAAACACTAGCCGGATCTCTTCGTTATCCCGATACTTTTCAAATATGCGTCCTGCAAAGTGCTGAGCCAGTTGAGAACAGTCACGGATCCACTCTGGCTTGTCAAGGGCTTGCACCTCTGCCATTGCATCGACAATCGACACCTTCATTCTTTGCCGTTCTGCATGACCATCAGTGCTGCAATCTGGAGGAATTGGCAAATTCTCGAGTATTGGCATCAATGCACTCTTGGCTGTACAGTGTAACATGGTGCCATCAGCAGTAAACATCGATCGTGGAACAACTCTGAATTCGTATGTTCCAACAGCTTCTTGAATGTCGATCTCTGGACGGCTCTTACAGATGATTAGCATGCGTGCAAACAAGTTTCTATCTTCTTGCAGTTCGATGGTCTCGGCCGAGGTTGAAATCTTAATCTTCTTGGTCATCGCTTTCCATGTCTGCAACTTTCTTTTCTTCATACTTGACCACAGGTTGATCTTTCCGGTTATGATGCGATCTCTAACAAAATCATCATAGAGCTTCTGGCCAATCTCGCTTTGCTCTATAAGATCCTTCTTCACCTTCTCCGATGCAACCACTTTCGTCACAAGATTGAATAGCTTGTCACCTTGCTCGGTAAAGGGATTTGTAAATCCTTCTATCGTATTCAATAGCTTGGTGATGTTCTTCTCTTCACGAGAGAGCCCAGCAGCCGTCAAAGCGTGGTGTTTGGCGCCTCCTCTCGTTTTTGCCCTGCCAGCCATCTTCTTTGCCTCTTCTGCTAGACGCGCAAGCTCTGGAGCAATCATGAAGAATTTGGTACGCGCACTTGGATTCAAAGTGATGCCTACTAGGCCTCCTGATACCTTCATGGATCGATTAATGTGTTCCAGGGCATGATCTGCTCCAAGTCCACAAAATGGTATGTGTCGGTTCTTGTTCACAACCCAGTTGCCTTCGGCGAACTCTTTATAGATTTCAGGAGCTGACTCGGGAAGGTTTTCCATCTCGGCAAGATAAATGGGAATCATTCTGGCGTAGTTAAGTTTGTCGTGCGCAAAGAAATACTTCGTAAACAACTGCAAAGATCTTAAATGCAACTGCCAGTCCGCTGTTCGTACAGCACGTACAAACAGCAACATCTCCATAATCATCTTCATGTAGGAACGGAAAACCTTGAACTCAGGATTCTTCCCTTCTTCAAATCGTTCCATTTTGCCAACTAAATCTTCAGATTTCATTACTTCTACCATTTGATCTTCAGCTTCTTTTACCTCGCTATTTTTTCCTTGTTCACACGCCTTTCCTAGCTGCTTTGCACACTTGTCAATCTTCTTCACCAACTCTTCATCTTGGCTAGAGAGGAACGCCTTCTGGTAGAGCATAAACAGGACTTGAAGAGTAACCAAATGTGCTGTCTCTCCTCTCTTTACGTGCTTCCCTGCCAGGATTTGCTTGACAGTAGCTGGGCCATACAAATCAGACTCTGACCAGCACAAGTCGATTCCACTGTGTTCGATGAATGAACCTAGGGTTCTAAGTTGCGCCATAACAATATGGAGCTCGCCAGGCCTTAGAATGAGATGGTTTAAATCATTACGAGCCATCTGGACCCATGACGTGAGCAGTGATTCCTTGGGCCTGCAATTTTTGTGAATACTTTAGATTTAATACAGACCAATTACAAAATAAGAAACGAGAATATGGCTGCTATTGTTGTTTCCTATTTCAGATTTAATATATTCAGTGGCTCTAGTTCTAACAACTTTTACATGTGCACTTTCTCAAACGTTTGACCGAGGTTAAATACATACCTGCATGAGAATGGTAAGCATTGTAGTCCATTCGTGGGCAGGGGCTGCTATCAGTGGCGGAGATCCGATTCTTGTAAGGGGCTGTGTTTCATAGACTAGAGAATTATACCCGGACCAGACAGGCACCTGAGATTGCGTCATCTCGCCATCGCTATCTTGAGCTGGGAACCGTGTTAAGCTGCGTCCAATGAGCCACGCAAAGTCCTTAAGCTTAACCGTTATTGCTAGATCTTCCACATTCACGCTATACGAGGGGTATGTAGGACTTTTCGGGTTCGCTTGAGGATTAGGGCACTCTAGCAGTGTTGTATTAGGGAGATCCTTTAAGGAACGATCGCTTTTCCGGCCTGCAATATTTGTGTCATCCAATCTAAGGAAACACATATAGAGTTAAGCTATAGTTGATACTATAAACAACATGGTAAATTAGCTATAATAGTAAATGGTCTATGCGTTGGAAGTTAACTGTTGTTTAAACCCGATTACGGATTTATTTTTTCTTACAAATAACCTGAGCTGTGGTGAAGCATCCTGGTCGTATTGCCTCTGATATATGGCCATAGCCGTTCCATGGAGGGTACCCTTTCCATCAGGCGTATCTTCAGAAAAATCTACGTTATCCACAGCAAAGAAGATGTGGCGCCCAGGTACAACATCTGGAGGAATATACAGGTTATTGCTCTGCTTCATGCGCTGAACTACGTGCTTCTGGATTTGAGATTCCGCTCGAAGAATACGATTGTATTCTACTGACATACCAAACCCACTTAGCATGTTTACAAGTGCTTTGCTCCTAATAGACTGGTGTATTGCCAAACCAATGGCAAGTTGTTGGGGCATTTCTTTTGTCGATCGAATTACCTATGAACAACATTGATCAAAGAAAATAAATACATCTAATTTAATGTCATTAATTTGGAAGATGTGAAACTTGACGTACCTCTGACTTCCGGTGTTTCACTTGGCGATCAGTAAGGGTCATGGAGATGGTACTTTGGCTCAGAGTAACTGCCCGCTTGTAGATTTCACTGAACTTGTCATCTAGGAAAAGAAAACATTATAAATGTTTCATATGTTCATTACTGGAATATTCCTACTCTGCCCAATGTCTTTAGAATATTGTAATGACACATGCCCTAACCTGATGCAAATCCTGTTGGTCCGTGTGTAATCCATCTAAAAAAGCAATATAACTCCTTGGGAAGCTGTTCAGCATCAAGGTCGTCAAACTGACCGGTGAAGGTCCAACTCTTGCTGTGGTTAATGCGCTTGCGAAGGAGTGCTGCAACATCATAAATAGCTTTCATTTCAGGTTCGGTGCACCTGTCTTCTTCACTTGATATTATTGAGTTATCCCGCGTTTCCTTCACAGTTAGTCTTTCAGGTTCATTCAGTCGTTTCGGTCTGTGAAATTCAACATCTGGAACATAACTTGAGATTAACTGCTTCAGTGTTTTTCTGGAACATGTGGGATTTACTACACCATTTTCAAGAAGCACATTTACATACAGGGTCTCGAGATCTGCCATATTCAAGAGCTTCCCTTCCTTCAACGCTTTCTCGGTGATATCTAAGAACTCAACTCTACCAGCTGCCACTCCATTATCCTCGTTTGGTTGGTACTGGGATCTTCGTAGCACATTTGTGACATTGTTTAGATAACAATTCTTATGGTATTTGACATCTATGGCATGAGCATCATTTGCGTTAATTGAGGTCGCAAGTTTTGTTTGTAATCTTTCATCTCCCAGAATCTCTACAGCAGACCGGATTGACTGTCCTGCCGACTCGGTGCAGACGGAATGGAGAGGATCTTTATTGACAGCCGCTTGATCACAAAAAAAACACAGTTCCTTATTGTAGGGGCAAGTTTGCGACCGTGTCAATTTTTTGCTTTCCTCCTTTTTTTGCTTAACTTGTGGCACCATCTTTTTCAAATTGCTCTTTTGCTCTTTTTAACTTTTCTTTACTGGTGACAACCTGGTAGCACGACCTGTGCCAAGTTGCATTCTGAAGAGTTAAGTCTTGTACTGTGTATTGTTGTAGCATTAACCAAGTGTCACGATAGTTAGGATTTCCATACGCACTTCTTTCTTCAACAAATCGAAGCAATCTTTCATGTGACGTTGGATTTTTTACCAGAGGTTCTTTTGTATTCTTGTGGCACAAAATGCACAATTTGAAATCGAGTACGTTGGCTGACATCAAGAGAACAAAAGCCGCAAAATATGTACTTACAGAACTTCAAAAAAAGTCATGACAATGATCACTCTCACTCACTTTCACTTTCTGTTTTAATGAAAAATACCACTGACCAGCAATACTGCAATAACATTGATGCATAGCCTTCAGTCTTCAAAGTCGCACTCTCAAATGCATAGACAGTCTGTCATTATTGTGATAATCTATTATATTTGTTGGTTTGTTTTCTTTCTAAGGACTTTCCCCGTTTGGTTTATGGTTAATTTTTGATTTGTCACGTGACAAAATAAAAAATGACACCATTGTTTTTTAATAGCAAGATGATCATTAGACTGTAGACATTGTAATAACACATGGACTTATGCAACTAAGAACAACTATATAAATGTATTCAGTCTGATGCTAACTATTAACCGTCATAACAGTACAATTAACTTATAAACAAGTCACGTGGTACATGCTAGTCTCGTTTTCGTGTTTAGGGTCACGTGACAAAATAAAAGAGACACTGTTCTCTTCTGTGTAGTATGGTAATCATTTGTTACAATTTTCGTGACATTTCGTTCAAAAATAACAAAGATATTGATGATTTAGACACTAGCCTCGTTTTAATGTTGGGAGTCACGTGACAACATAAAAACTAGATTATTGTCTTCTGCATGTCTTGGTGATTATTTGTTGCAAGTTTCATGACATTTCGTTTAAAAACGGCGAAGATATTAATGGTTTTGGTACCAGCCTCGTTTTCGTGCTAAAATGTTGACGTCCTTTTTAAAAATACCCCCTTAATTGGTCCAGGACAAGTTACAAACTTGGCAACATCACTTTCCTACTATTTGAAGTCCCCTGAACATGACTAGCATTGTTGCTTGCTTTCTTCAGTGATTTCCCACGGGACTTGTTTTTTCGACATATGCTCCCTGACTATAATCCTTGGCCTTACCGGGGATGTTAAGGCAGCAATTTCCTTGCGATAGTAACTCCTAGTTTAAAACTATAACCACCCCCTGTATTTCAGCGCAGGCCACTTTATGCGTATTTTCTTGCCTGCAGGCAGAGTGAAAACCTCAACAGACATTTTGTTTATTAGAATCTTGTATTACTCATTTCAGGGCCTTTTTACAAATCTGCTTGTGTGGGGGAGGGGGTAGTGGGCAATCCTCAAATAAGGGATTTCACACCTAAGTAAAATGCTGTTAGGGGGTCTGGGGGACCACCCCATCAAAAGCTTTGTATTTTTGTATCTTTGGGGGCATAATTTCATGCATTTTGGGACATAGTTTCTTAGTAAATGAGTTGATATTGGTGTGTGAAAATGCTTAGTATCAAACAGTGTCATAGAAATTTTGAGCCAACATTCTGTCAACATCTGGGATGTGCTGCCAAGAAAAATGTTATTTTCTAACAATTTGAAGCATTTCCTGGTAGGCTTTTTGTGTGAGACACATTCAAGAAACATATTCTGTGAAGGGGAGTATTAAAGTACCCCTCATAATAAAGTTATTCACTTGATTTTTCTTGTAATTTGGAACATAAGAGACCTTTAGTTGGGGGAGGGAAATGGTTTAGTGGGGAGTGCAAAATGGGTTATTATCTCTGAGAACAGCGGTAAGGATGATTATTTTTTGTATATTATTATTACATTATTATATTTAATTAGAATGGCACTTCCATATATATTTAATTACAATGGTAGTTCCATGTAAATTTCGAACACAGATTATTGCATAGTCTCAGGGCCTTTTTTACTGTAACATACAAATTGGAGGGGGGGGGGGTTGGCAAATGTTGCACCCTCCAAGCTTCTATGCTGGTGCACCCCACCCAAACTGTTTTTGCCCTGCTGTATTAAAGGTCTCTTATGTCCAAAATTATGGGCGAAATCAGGGGTACTTTAATATTTCCCTTTCCAGAATTTTTTTTTGAATGTACCTCACACAAAAAGCAAAGCCTGCCACGAAATGCTTCAATTGTTATACCAGTATTTTTTTCCATTTAGGTGATGCTAATATTGGGATGATATTTAGCCTCTTTAAATCAATTGGAAAGTCCCTTACTGCAAAACTGCTTGCATACGCCCAAGGAGTGCCAAAAGCTGTACATCCACAATTGTTAGCTGGTGGCAATCAAATATCATCTGGGACATCAATGTAAGAACACATACTATTGAACTCAATTGATGCAGCCTTGCAAAGCCTTGTTCACTTGTGCAATGCTTAGCTTGAATAGATATATATATAATATATAAGTTTTGGTCCTGCAGATGAATATATTTTTTTAACAATTGCTTTCTGTTTCCCTGCAAGTGCAAGCAACATTTGTTTGTTTCATGTTTTTATTTTCATAGTAAAAAGCTTATGCAAGCCCTCATGAAGAGAACATTTGTTGTCATATTGGATGATACCAAACCAACTGAAACTCTTACAGAGTTTCTTCTTCAAGTCCAAGGTGGATTGTTGCAAGGATCTTTGCAAAGTGGAATGGAAACACCTCGTGGAAGTGTTTTGATGACATCAAATTTCAAATAAAGTGACAGATTTTAACATATTTTGTCTATGGTATACTGTAAAATACCAGTTTTACTTGAACTC